GGGGGGGGATTGTGTACCATTGAATTAGTTTTGAGGGAAGGGATCAAAGGAATGCATGAGGTTAAGGGTCAAAGTATAGCAAGGGCTGGTAACGATATACAACCCGTTGTAGATCTGAAAACTATGTCATACCATATTTTAAAATAAAGCAGCTTTTGTGACTTTTTTGGTATTATAAACATGTGTTTTTCAATATTGTGTAAATTTAAACATTTTATTGCAAAGAAAAAACATCATTCTATAAAACCTCAAGTGAAGTTCAGATTTAAACTAGGTTTTGACAGAACAGGAGCCCTCTCTGTCTTCAATCTTGCCTTTCTCCACATCTATCCTGTAAAGAAGACAAAAATGAGTCTCATTTTCTCAACCTTGTCTTTGAACCACCCAGGAAAGATACCATAGCATGATCAATCTTGTCCCTGAAAAAGTACAATCCCCAGAACAGTATAACATCACCTTCTTAGTTTTGTCTGCAGAAACTCCAGATATGAATGGTTTCCATATGGAACAAGTTGCTATCTTTGAAATTTCAGACACATCTTACTGGCCAGAGCATGGAGCAGCAACACTGTCTGGCCCCAAGCAGCATTAATCTCATTCCATTCCATAGAAATTCTGGTCAGGTGACCCAATTTGAAGTTTACTCATGGTGCCAAATTGTCCACTGTTCCAGATATGAAAGGAGACATTAAAGATGGTGGTATTCTTCAGCTAGTCCAGCGACATCTGGGCATAATGCATCTAGTTTTCTATACTCCTGAGCTGATCATCCAGCTCCGGTTGTTGCTGCTTAAATTCACTGATATTGAGCTTCCTTCTGATTCAGTCTCTGCCTCAGCCTAGATCTTTTCAAGATGTCACTATCTTGTGGTTCTTTTCCACATCTTCCAACTTCTGAGTCACCCTTTCTTTCTCCAATGCCAGTTCCTTTAGCTCCATCTGGAGTTGTTTACTGTCATCCTCATTCATTTGCTTTAAAAGCTCCAAACAACATCTGTAGTTCTGACAGTCATTTTCAGTGACATCCAGCTAGGTGTTAAGCTGGTTTAAGAAAGTATCCACCTGTGCATTCCTCACACAGGGGTGATATATCTATCTGGCCTGATATGATGTCAAAAAGATCTCCAGTGACCTTCAGTCTTCAGCTGAGGTTTTCCACTGTGCCACCATCAGATGGCTCTCCGATCAGAGTGAAGCTGCTGGCACTTTTGTAGACATTATCCTGCAGACAGCAGACCCCCTCCATCCCCCCAATCCTGTCCACAGGCCACATGAGAGAGCAGAGAGAGACCTCCTCCACCTTTGGTAAAGAATAGGGTGCTGAGGAGTAGGCACCTGGTTGAGGGGAAGAATCTACAAGAGACACAATCCTGAGCGTTCCAATAAATGGCTCCTCTCCTGAGTTAGTTTCTTCCTCCTATGTCTCTCCTTGTATCACCTGGACTGTGGCAAGTAATGAAGTTGTGAGTCCTGGATGGTGATATGGATATTGAAACTCATGTCCAGTTTCAGAGGCTGGCTGCAGCACTGACACACAAAGCTTACCTGCATGGTACTGCTAGACATCTTAGACTCCTCCATTCCTCTGGGCCTCAGAGCCCACCAACTAGGTCCAGTTTACTGCAGAGGCAACATAGCCCTGGGTCTGCCCCAGAAAATAAGGCCTCCAAAATCATCACTGCCAAGATTTTTCCTTCATTTTAAAGAAACATTTTGAGCTCTTAATATTATTTGCCTCCCGTGAGTGAAATAAGGAGGTTTTAAGAAGGAGGGTAGCCAGGATCAATATCATTTAGACCAATTAGTCCTTAAAAAGAACTCTGAGATGCTTTTGTGTTTGTTTATTATGATCATAAGTCAATGAAGGAGTTAAGAGTAGGAAAATAGAAAGAGAAGAGGCACTATTTAAAAGTAGTAATGACTACTACATGGTGTAATATCAACAGAAAAATCTTAGAGAAAATTCTGGATACACTTGTGTATTATTGGAATTATCACAAAGCATGCATTATACTTAAATTTAAGATATTTAAGTACATGCAACCACTATGGAAAGCTGTATAGCGCTTTCTAAAAAAGTTGCAAATAGAAATACCATTTGACCCAACAATTTCACTACTGAGAATATACCCTAAAGAAATTATAACCACCACACAAGCAGATATATGCACACCCATGCTTTTTGTGGCTTGGTTCACAATAGCAACGAGCTGGAAACAACCCAAGTATCCATCAACAAAAGAATGGATAGAGAAGCTTTGATATAGTCATACAATGTAATACTATGCTGTAATGAAAAACAAGGAACTCATGAAATATTATGTAAAATGAGTAACCCTGGAAGACATTATGCTGAGTGAAATATCTCAGTCACAAAAGGAAAACTATTGCATAGGGCCACAGTTTTAAAATGGGACTGGCATCGGGGTTGAGGGAAGACTCAGAAAGAGGGGATAAATAATGTATACTGCATTGAAACAGATGAGGGAGAGAATTTTGGATATATGATTAGGTATTATTGTCATGACAGGAGTCCAGAATAAAGGCTGCACAGTGGAGTGGGCTTGGGGGAAGGGATTGTACAACAATGAAAGAATTTTTCTTTTACTTTTCAAAGAGAAGAGTGAATTGTGAGGGTAGGGGCAGGGGGGGAGAAGTGCAACAATGAATGAATAGAAACCCCAAGTCTCTGTAACTTTCATTAAAATTAATAAGAAAAAAAGATATTTAAGGAACATTACAGAAGTATATATAATTATCTGCTTAACTATTAATTCATACTATAAGGTGAAGAAATACTTTTACAACTAAAAATATAATGGAAGTCAATTCAACTGCTTATCATTGGACAGCTTTGATTTAAATAAAATATATACAAAAGGTTTTTAATTGATAGATCTTAACAGTAACCATTCTAATTATTTTTATAAGATGTAATAAATACATATCCCCCCAAAAAAATAAATGTATATCCATTGTTGTTGCTGTGATGTGCCATCAAGTCGCCTGCGACTCATAGCGACCCTATGTACAACAGCCCTAAACTCTGCTCTGTCCTGAGCCAATTGCACTGTGTCTGAAACTCCCATCCCGATTATCCCAGTCACTGAATCAATCCACCTCATAGAGGGCCTTCCCCTCCTGTGCCATCCTTCCACCCTCCCAAGCAAGATGTCCTTCTCCAAGGACCTGTCTCTCCTCACAATTATGTCCAAAGTATGTTAGACAGAGCCTCAGAATCCTTGCCTCCAAGGAGCCACCCGGTTTAACCCTTTCCAGGACAAATCTGTTTGTTTTCCTAGCAGTCCATGGTACTCTCAATACTCTTCTCCAGCACCACAGCTCAAAGGCATCAATTCTCCTTCCATCCTCCTTGGTCATTGTCCAATTTTCTGATGCATAACAAGTGATTGTGAAGACCATGGCCTGTATCAAACGCACCTTAGTCTCCAGAGAGACACCACTGCTCTTCAGTACTTTAAAGAGATCCCTAACAGCAGACTTTCCCATGGCAATGCGCCTTTTAATTTCCTGGCTGCTGGTGCCAAGAGTGTTGATTGTGGAGCCAAGCAAACTAAAGCTGTGTACAATTTCAATCTCTTCAACCATCCATCCTGATGCTGCCAATTGGTCCAGTGGTGAGAATCTTTGTCTTCTTGACACGGAGCCTCAATCCATATTGCAGGCTGCAGTCCTTGACACTCTGCAGCAGGCGCTTCAGGTCCTCCTCAGTTTCAGCAAGCAGGGTTGTGTCATCCGCATAACGCAGATTGTTGATAAATCGTCCACCAATCTTGACCCCACATTTCTCCTCATAGAGCCCAGCCTCCCGGATAATCTGTTCTGCATATAGGTTGAAAAGGTATGGGGATAGGATGCATCCCTGGCGTACGCCCTTCCTGCAAGGGAACACTGCATGGTTCAAAATATATCCATTAGATTTCCAAATCATTTTAAATGGCTGCAAAATTAATCTGAAATTACGGAAGTAATAATGTTTGACAGTTATTAATTTGAGTAAAAATGTTTTACATAATTTACTACAGCACTTTTGCCTACAATTTTCCATCAATTATAACTCAGTTCTATCTTAAACTATATCATTCATTTCTCTAATCTAATCAGACATATCTTACTAATCATGGCATTTTTGTCTTGAAAGTCAGGATAGGTTCTCATAATTCTTCCTAAATGAGATCACCAAGCAGTGATAACCAACCAAATGAAGTCAACACAGGCATCCTTTGTCATTCTATCAGAGATTAAAGCACTTAGACAATAGCACTGTGTCA